AGCTCAGCCCATGTTATGTGTTTATGCCAGAATGGCAAAATAAATCAAACCCAGAGAGCATACTCTTGTGTAATACAAGTTTTTTTTTTTTTTTTAAATCTGCATACCTGAAATTATAATTAAGCATATCAGTAAGTTTTCTCCAAAAATAACAAGAGCAAAATATTCCTTTTCTAAGCTTCAATCAAAAAGATCAAAAGCCAAGTCTGTAAAAAGCACATTTCTGGAGAAGCAGCTTCATGCCAGAGTACAGACCCTTTCCCTTTGATGTGCAAGAGACTCAGGGAAGAGAAAATATTATCAAGAGTGGTGCAGCGAAGGCTAGCATATAAGCAGAACCTAACACAAGTTAAAGACGCCATCAACCATCAGGACCTCCTGAACCCAGAAATGAGGCTTTACAGTCCCTAAGGGAAACAGCAGGATTGGGGCCCGCCATTTTGTTCCATTTCGCTTTTGAGGATAGAGGAGGGGGCAAAAGACTAGGCTGAATTTCAAAGGCCTTCAGATGCCATTTGAGTATCCGCTGAGATTGTGCTGGTAGAACAGCAGCTATAAAAGATGTACACTGAACCAGGGAGGGGGAGAGAAACCTAGACACAGAGAAACAGAAAGGCAGAGACGACAGAGAGGCAAGAAATAGTAGCCATGCTTGTTTACCTAAAAGGACCACTCTCACTACAACAGGGGGAAGGGAGAGCCTGCATGGACAGAAGGCAGCAGAGTGGGTGCTGGAGTTACAGCTAAAGGCTTCTTTTCCCTCTTACAATTAACAACAACAACCTGTTTTATTCTTCCATTTGAACCTCAAGAAGACAGTTTTGCAGCAATATCTAAAGAAGAAATTGCAAAGTGTACTGCATACTGTGCCAGCCACCTACGCATTTCATTATTATATAATACATCTTATAAGGGAGCATGAGAGCTGAAAAAAGCCACTAATTTTCTTCCTTAACAACAACTGATATGTATAAACAGAAACAAAAAGCATTATGTCAGCGTAATACTGGACTAACTACACTGTATTTAGGTACTGATCAGCCACAACATTAAACAACTCGTCTAACAATGTGCAGGTCTCCCTCTTGCTGCAAATAAAAAAATAACATGTCGAGGCATGGATTTCACTAGACCTCTGAAGGTACCCTCCGTGAACCTGACTTGTTTTTCCAGCACATCACACAGATGCTCAATTGGACTGAGATCTTAAGAATCTGGAGGCCAATTTTCCCCTTGAAGTTTTCATGTTCCTCAAACTATTCCTGAACATTTTTTTGCAGTGTGGCAGTGAACATTATCATACTAAAACAGGCTATGTCTGAATACCCTTGCCATGAAATGGGTGTATGTGGTGTGCAAGAATGTTTAAGTCGGCTAAAGTAACATCCACATGAATGCCAGGAACCACAACTTCCCAGCAAAACATTGCCTAAAGTATCACACTGAATTTATGGGCTTAACTTCTTTCCATAATGTATCCTGCTGCCCATCTCAACCCAAGTAAACAAGACACACATCTGGCCGTAAACTGGTTGTCTAACCATCACAAATTCTACCTTGTCATAGTCACGAAGACTTTCAAACCTGCCTATTTTCCTTCTTCCAACACATTCGCTTCAAGAACGGCTCTTCAATTGCTGCCTAATATATCCCATCCTACAGGTCCCATTGATAATCAATATTATTTACTTGATCAGTTTTAAAGCTGTAGCTGATCTGTGTTTATGGAATATTATTTTCTTGCATAAATAGACCATATTTTCCATATTTACATTATTTACATATTTATCTTGCTCTGCCATTTAAAAGATGAAAATCATTTTTTTTTTAAATTTAAAAAGCACACTGAGATGAAAATGTTCCCTCTAGGGTCATGAACTGTCAATAATCATAACTTGCAATGACATGTCTGTATTACACCCCAAGCTGATCGCTGGAAATGACTTATTCTGTCTAACAGCCAAAAATTTCAACTCTATCATTAGTAGAAAAAAAAACGAAAAAGAACACTCTTACACCTGATAACTTGAAACTGAAGCAGAAGTTTGGCATACTGGATCTCTTCAATGCCATCTTTCCTTTTAAGATGGACAAGTGTAGTTAAAAGAGCATGCAATTCACAGGCATCTTTTACTAAAAACAAACAAAAGAAGTGGTGGTGCAAAGCCTTGTAAAATAAATTTGCAATTTTACACAATTGTTGCCCTGACTACCAGCTATCAGCTTTTAGTTGCTAAGGACAACAAACTGTTTTACATTTTGTAATCATGTTTAATTGGACTACACTTAGCCTGCCTTAAATTCTAAGACAGATTTTAGGGACAAATGTTACAAAGAACACAATAAAAATGAGCAAGGTGCACATACAACAAATTTCACCTTTAACATGAAGGTCAGTTTCACAAAAAACACAACATAAAAATGACAGTGACTGGCTTAATAGATTAACAGGGTTAGCTCGTAAACAAGCACAATACAACTTGCACTCTATTGCATAGGTTGACCACTGCTGTCCATTTTGAGAGTATAGTGAATTATCCTACGCAATAATTCTTTTATAGAATAATCTGAAGCATGAGGTCTATTTTGCAACCACTACTCTCATTTATCATCCCATATGCTTTCCATGTTTCGCAAACGTGTCTACCTTCTTTGGGTCTTGATATTACTTTGGGCATACTGTTTTTTTTCAGTAACTCTTACAGGTTATCATTGGACTTGGTCATATCTTGTCTTGTCCTGTGCAACAGCAACTGTCACGTCACTCAAACACAGCAGTCAATACCGTCTTGTTATCTTTTTGTCACTCTGGTTGTGTTTTTGCAATGATACATACACTTGCGTTCTTGCCTTATGGCTGGTTAAAAAATGTGTGGTAGTCTACCTAAGAATCAGAAATTGAAATCTTCAAAAGTGTTCTCAGATCGAGACGGGGAGTCACAGCACTGACTAATGTTTACAACTACGGTTCACAACAGGCTGATGTGAAAGCAACCAGGAGGTTTAATAACTGAGATGCCTACAGGTCTGAAAATTTCCCAAATCTGGAGAAAGAAAACTGGCCATTAGTGGAGTCTAAGGAATTCTGAGACACAAGAGCCACTGTTAGGCAGCAGAATAGCAGAATCATAGAAAGTCAGCCTGTCTTTCTTTCTCAAGCTCAGGACCTTTGTGACCCCAGCAGAACTCTATTTCCTGTTGCAGGCAGAGGGTATGCCTTGATTTTCTGGTACCACTTATAGGAACTGGGGCAAAATCTAGCCAACACTAATGGGAACCGGATGGGACATACAGTTCAGGAAAGTCAAGTAGCATGGCAATTATCAGCACTTATTAAAATATATTTAGACTGAAGACATAACTCAAATTCAACTACTAAACTGATTGAATGTGCTAGGAGCACAGTGACTGCACTTCGTATGTTAATAAGAAAATTGAGATTTTTTTTTATTCAGTGGGTTATCTAACATTCACAATATAAACACAGTATTATATGGTAAGGTACTAGAGAACACATTTGTTTACAGTTCTGCAAAAACACAAAAATTATATCTAAATCCCCCACATCACAATCTTCATGTATAACAGAATAGGGCGAATGATACCAAATGAATTGAGGCTATAACTGTAGCACAGACAAATAGGACCTACGCAAGCTCAAGGGAGACAGAGATATGCATCACTGCCTCTGCAGTGTAGTCAACATAAACGCCCCAACAAGCTAGAACACTCTCAGTATCTTGGTGGAAAACACCACCAGCAGCACTGCAGTGTTTTCCTCAGCACTGGTACTGCACCAAAGTGACAAGCTTTTCCTCCATATTCCATCTCTTCAACAGCTCATCTCAAATTCAACCATGTTGTGCCCCTCCTCTTTATGTTATTTAATGCAGAAAACACACACTCCACTGAACCAACTCAGCCAATTGAGACTATTATCCATCCATACACCCCACTGTTAGACTAACTGTATACAGACACTTCCTGATGAATCCAGATAGCCTGTGGGCATTTCAAAGCATTCTTTAAATAGCCACACGAAGCACACACATTTTCTTCACTGGCTTTAGTTCTGACAATCTAATTCACTACCTTATTTACACACAGGCTTGTAGCACATCCATTTTGCTTTAGTATTAGAACAGACCAGCAAATGGTAAAGACACAGAGCCACATGCTATGAATTCATGACGCTGTGCACACCTAACTGGAAAAGCAGGTAGACGACTATTGCATTAACTCAACGGTCAAATAAGCAATGCCATTGTGTATTTAAAAATAGGTCAACATTTGGATGCTGCTGGTGGACTCCCTTGAGAAATACAATGTTAATTATTGTCTGGGATATGGAAGCACCCGTGAGTGCTTATGCTGCATATGCAATATCAGCTAATTATTACACTAAAACCCACTGTAGATGGACAGTATAAATTAAATCCCCTTTGCTTTCAAAACAAGCCTCCCAAGCCAATGCTCTACGGTGATCCATTATTCTGTCAGCATGCACGTACGTGGAAGTGTTGTATCAACGTATGCAGCAATAGCTCCCTGCTAAAAATATTATTGTTTAGTTTGGAAATATCAACACAGTCACGGCAAGCACCATCATATACTGGACAAAATTTGCCACAGCTAAATTCGATATACTATTTTTTTTTTTGGGGGGGGGGGGCAACAACAGATAGTTGCCGCAGTAGGTAATACAAAATGTGAATCAATTCTTGTACCAAAATATCAGCATATCGGAAAACCTAGCCAACGTTACCCAGATAGAATGTGCGTTAAAAAGCAATTCCTTGCATTCTTCCGATGACAAGCAAATTCCCTCATTATATAACCACAAGGTAACAATTTAAAGCCTAAAATCTTAAGTATTTGAATATATTGCAAGTTGACCTTTGTCGCAACACATTACAACCAGAGTTAACCACGGGGGCAGCAAGAGTCAGTTTGTTGTTGTTAAAATGCTAGCCATACAGGTCCAGTAAAGGGAGACTTACCTCTGTCTGAATCCCACAAATTCAAATAATTATCTGAATCTTTAACGTTTAGTCTATGCCGCGGTGTTTTCGGCCGATGCTGGATGTTCCCATTTGTTGCCGTCGGTTCAGCACATACTGCTCCGGAGACATCCGCATAAAATCGCAACCATCGCAGCTAAAGAGCAGCTCACGAGAGTCGAGGCTAGCTTTAGCTTCTTAAAACCGTGTAGACCAACAGATAGGCGTCCAAAGAAAAAAAAAAAGACTAAAATATCCACGAGAATTCGTTTACAGCGTAGCTATTTCATCTTTATCACAAACTACAAACCTTTAACAGTCCATCTGTATAACAGCAGGCTTGCTTGGTTAAACGTAAACCATCAAAAGACGATATTTTTGTTTCGGTTTAATCCTCTCCGCCAACCCATTCGAGCGGTTTTCGAGCGGCCTTTGACTTCAGTGTGTGGACGCTCGGGACGGAAACGCATCCGGGATGAAACGACATTTCTGATTGGCTCTGGCACTGTAGGCGGATACCCCTCCCGCGCATGATGAAATAGACGCCATTTTGGATCCGCACAGCTGCCTATTCTCGCCTCAGAACGAACTAGAGGAGGGCTCCAACGTGGCTGACCACGGTTTACAGTTTCAAACGCAAGAGACCACACTCCATTATATAGTTGGAGACCAAGAAAAGGAAATGGAGTACAGGCGTTGGGTGCACTCGTTTTCAACATTTCTAGAAACCTTAGTCTTTGTTTATCCTGACCCGTTGATTATGCAATTGAACTTTTAGTGGGCGATTTAAAAATGCGAACATTGATATATGTTACGAAAAATTATGTGAATATTTATGAGCTTTTTAAATGCTGTGAACGAATGCATTCGGACAAATTATGCAGTAAATTTTGATAGTAGCTACTTTTCTACTCGTTACCCAAATGTAGTATGATATGTATCAGACTGAAACGTCCATTTATTTTGGCGCATGTCTCGAGGTAAGTTTAGTGTTAGATGGACGACTCAGAATTCAAATATGGGGTATAGGTCAGAGAAGACTGAGTCAGCAAGAAAGCGGAGCGTACCGGTGACCAAACTTGACGCACCCATGGCTAAAATGAGTCGCGAAGGGATGTTACCAAGACTCCTATTGGCTGAAAAAATATGTCCCTATTCTGACTGGATTACTTTTATGCCATTCAACCTAACCTGTACACGTCGCTTTTCACGACAGCAGTGCAGTGATTATTTACACGAGGGACAGCAGCTCTGCATGTTTTCTAATTACTAAAGGCTCCTCCAGCTGATTTTTACTGACTGCCTTGTGTGCCTTCAGGTAAAGAGGAGGGAGTCATGATTAGGATTACAAGTTGGAGTGTTTGTTTGTGGTACACTATGACCCCAGACCGTGTGTAAGGATTTTACCAGACGGATCTTGCAATTGACAATAAAGCATGTTTAAATCATAGAAAGTATATGGTTTAAATTAATTAATTTAGCAGAATCTATCTGGACGAAGTTCCGCTGAATTGGGAGAGCCACTCGGGGAACTTAACCAATTGCGCTCTCTGCTGGAAGACTAACTCAAAAAGGAAAACAAATAGTAATAGTATTTTTCTCATAGGTTTCAAAGACAACAATCCACACAGACACAGTTCTGAGCTCAACACACAATCATTTGAAAATAGGAAATACTGTCCTCTTACTGCTACTGTAATGACAAATACTTAAATAGGTTTTCTACTTTTTCTGTTTTGTTTTTCAGCTGCTCTCTATCCCAGAATAATTATTGTATTGTTCATTCGTTTTTGTAATCCCCCCCCCCCCCCATTTTTAAAAAAATAGATCTGTGGCATTATTATAGTATGAATTTATATTGGGATTTTTTTGTAGTCAAGTCACAGCATATATTAAACAACAGCGAGTAAAATCGCTTTCCATCAGAAAAATATGACTGACATTGCAAATTTATCTAGCAATTTAAAATATTAAGATTAAGATCCTACTTTTTTTCCAAATACAAATGTACCTAGCCTTACAACATTTTGTTATATATAATTACGTTACATAGGCTGTACACAATATGTTATATATAATGTGCAAAGTTACAAATTTTTACTAGATTTTATTATATATATATTTTATTATAGTTTATACATAATATACAAATTTAAGTTTTAACTTAGATATATTATATATATTGTACTGCTGCTGTTCTTCATTGTTCATACAAAATGCACACTACTTAAACATTTTACATAATAAGGTTAAGACCATATAGTATTATTGATTTTTTTAATAAAAAAAAAATCTGACAACATTAAATATTAAGATTAAGATTAAATAGGGTTACATATTAACTTAAACATGTCCTGACCAGTTAGAATACTGCATTGTTGTTTGTTCTTTACTGTTCAGTTAAAGTACAGATCTACCTCAGTAGATAATAAAATCAAGATCCTACAGTGTTATTTATGATTTACATTTATCTGACTGAAAAAATGAGATTAACCTTACAATATTTTTTTTTTTAAATGCAAGTTTACCTAACCAAATTTACTAATGGTATTTATTATACAAGTCTATCTGACTAATTCAAATATTAAGGTTAAGACTTCACAATATTATATATCGTACAAATCTACTTGACTTCATTAAATCCACTATATATTTTGTATTGTTCCTTGTTTTTAATATTAAGGGCAGCTGTATGAACTGAAACACTTCTTTGCTTCATATACATATACGATGTTAGCTTTTAAAAGTTTCAGAATTTAGCAGCAACAAAAAGCGATCAAATCGGGTTGAGTTCACAGTATACTTGATTGAAATATGATGACGTTTGCGGTGCACAGTTGTGTTGCATAAATCCTGCGCAAACGTTTGCGCAGCCTGCAGGTTCCTGAAGACCAACAAGCGAGGTCATAGTTCAAAGTTCGAGGTAGGAGCCGCGTAACTGTATTATTAAATATCCAGGACATGTGAAACACCGTTGTATAGTAATAAAAACCAAGCAATTACGATTTAATTAAAGAAGTAAATGTTTTATTTTATTTTAGTTTATTTTGCATTTTTCCTTGCGCAGGAAGTCCGGCAGTACTGTGGACGATTGCAGAGCTGACATCTTTTTTTTTGTTGTTTAACTTAGCATGCTAGCTCTAAACGGAGGTGGAGATAAACAAGAGTCTTATACAACGCAAGCGCGGTGTTAGCTCTTATAAGACTGATAGCTATGACATTGCGGTCGTTCAGTTAGTGCACTGATAACTGACACTATGTCAGCGTTGTTGTTGCACCACACTGGTGCCGCTTGTAGAAAATACAGCGGAGGTTTCTTTTGGGCACTGTCAAGGCGAAACTCTCATGTATTAGCAAATAAGCTTATGTCCAGCCACAGTGCTAGAAATGTGCTGTCCAGGTGTGCTAATGTCAGAAAAACGCCTCTGTCGAAATCAGAACGGACACTAACGAGGCAGCCACAGAAACTCCTTCAGGTGAGTAAAATACACCGGAGAGAATAAACGTACATTGTTGATGAATGCTTTCTTAAAGTAAAACTCCGCATGTTAGCCCCCTGCCCATGGCTGGTGATGGTAACCGTTGGTGATTTGAGTGATTTGTGTTGCCATGGAAACGTATGAGTGTTTGGAATGAGTCTGAATAATTAATCTAAATATTTCAGTGTGTCACAACATATCATTTCAAATCAACCACTGTGGTGTGACAGAGATACCCCAACCTATAAATTACACTGTACAGACAAAAGACAACGTGCTTGTTTAGTACAGTCTGCAACAAAAAATCATCAAATAATTGTCATCTCTTTTCTTTGTTTTGTGATAGAAAAGAAATGCCACGATTACCATTCCTACTAAAACCATCTTCAAAAATGATTTTTTAATTAAAAATAAATAAATAAATAATATATATATATATATATATATATATATATATATATTATTCAGTTCTCGTGTGCAAACTAAGAAAGTATGTTGCCATGATGATATTATGATGATTATTATTGTTATTGTAATTCACTGTGTTTTTTAAATGTGAAATTTCAGAGCCTTCTGCACAGACCTTTGGGTCCTGGCATGTTGGGACTTAACAAAGAGTTAATTAGGAACAACCTGCTGAGAAACCCTGTTGGTTTGCTCAGTCTTTTAGGTAAGTAGCATGTTTACAGCAGTACTGTTATACATTGTTATATTTCACTTAATTGTTGCTGCTTATGGTAAGAACCCATTTATTTTCAGAGGCAACAAACTTCTTCAGTACATCTCAGTCTAAACAAGAGAAACAAAACAAAAGTGGTGGACCAAAGGGGAAAGCTCCAGAGGAAGATGAAGGTAAGTGTTTAAGTGCTTTTGCTGCTTCACACATGGCTTTTAATTAACTGCACCACATCTGGTTGTGATATTAATTTCTTTCTCTGATCCTTTTTGAATTCTCTGCTTCACCTTTCAGAGGAGAAGAAGCGTCGTGAGCAGGAGGATCACAGGCGCTCCCGCCTGGTGACCCTCCTATTAATGGTGGCCTTCATCGTTGTGTCGAACGTCCTGAGCAGCAGTGGTGGTAACATCTCCTGGAATGACTTTGTCCATGAGATGTTGGCCAAGGGAGAGGTGTCCCGTGTGCAAGTTGTTCCTGAGAGTGACATAGTCGAAATCTTTCTTCATCCTGGAGCAGTTATCTTTGGAAGGCCTGTATGTCATGCAGGACTTTATGCAAGTGCACAGTTAGCATCTGAACTGCTAGGGCAGTGCTAACCTTTAGTTTTCTACCTTATTTGTTGCTTTGCAGAGGCTGGCGCTCATGTACAAAATGCAGGTTGCCAATATTGACAAATTTGAGGAGAAGCTGAGAGCTGCTGAGGAGGAGCTGAATATTGACACTAAGGACAGAATACCAGTGTCCTACAAACGCACTGGTTTCTTTGGAAAGTAAGAACATGACTTTTCTCCGAGCAGACTTTAAAAGAAATCTATTTATAGGGTGATTAAGGTTGCTTAGCAATTTGAAGGACTACTGTCTTCATACTGAGTGGAAAAAAAGTGTTAACTCCAAAAACATCATTGTCAGTTACTTTGTGATCGTGTTGAATTATTGTACACATTAGTAATTTCATAAAGAACCAATCACTACATGTTAGGGTTATGTAATTGTAATTGTTTTTTGAGAAATGTAGGTAAGTTTGAGACTGGTTTATGCATTTTAACAGACAGATGTATTGAACTCTAATTTTATTCTACTTTGAAGTAAAGACAATGTTTTTTGTTTTTTTTTTCATTTTTTCCCTTTGCAGTGCAGTCTATGCTCTGGGGATGGCTGCTATAGCTGTGGTTTTTCTCTGGTATATCTTTCGACTAGCCAGCATGGGTGGCAAAGAAGGCGGCTTCAATGCTTTAGTGAGTGACACATATAAGCAATCTATTTTGTTGCGCTGATTTGATCCATGTACTCATTGCATATTACAACACACTTAACAGAACCAGCTGAAGATGGCCAAATTCACCATCGTGGATGGCAAATCGGGTAAAGGTGTGAGTTTCAAAGATGTAGCAGGCATGCATGAGGCTAAGATGGAAGTGAAGGAATTTGTTGACTACCTCAAGGTAAGAAACCAGACTCAAATTTATTTATGGTCATCTTGTACAGTTCTTTAAACATGTAAAGCAAGCACCAGGTAATGCCAATTAAGGAATCAAAAGATGAGGTTTAGTTCAGCCTTTACTAGAATAGCTACTTGATAAACTTAAATACTGTGTCTTTACCATCCAAATCTCAAAAATACAACTTTTCACACCTGTATCATCTATCAACAGAATCCAGAACGTTACCTCCAGCTGGGAGCCAAGGTTCCAAAGGGTTCGTTGCTGCTTGGGCCTCCAGGATGTGGGAAGACCCTGCTGGCTAAGGCTGTAGCTACAGAGGCTCAGGTTCCCTTTCTGGCTATGGCAGGCTCTGAGTTTGTGGAAGTCATTGGAGGTATGTACAGAAGCACGAGCAATTAATCAGAAACATTCAAACGGTCAAAATGCATTAACACAAGGCCACCAGTCAATATGCAAGTAGATATCGTTGCCTATAGTTCTACAGTTATATAGTGCAGCGTTCTACTGTCATGAAAAAAAATACAGAATTTTCTGGATGTGAATGAATGTTTTCCAAATGTTGTTGGAAATACAATATTCTGTCACCAGAATTTAGGAATAATAGATCAAGATTTTTGACTTCAGACACCATCACTTAGTCTTTAGATGACATCCTTACTGTATTAGCTATTTAATTTCTGAAGCCACATTAGATGCTGTATGCTACTCCTAAGGTTTGATCCGATTTATACTTGTGTTTGTGCGTAGGCCTTGGTGCTGCCAGGGTCAGGAGTCTGTTCAAGGAGGCTCGCGCCCGAGCACCCTGCATCGTCTACATTGATGAGATCGATGCAGTGGGAAAGAAGCGCTCCACCAACATGTCAGGTCTCTCCAATACTGAAGAGGAGCAGACTCTCAACCAGCTGCTGGTAGAAATGGATGGTGAGTACAACATGGGGTTGCAGAGCAGTTTGTTGACTTGACAAGCAGAAGAATGACACTTCTTCCTTTTGCAGGAATGGGAACAACAGATCATGTCATTGTCCTCGCTTCGACTAACAGAGCAGACGTCTTGGACAATGCGCTCATGAGACCAGGCAGATTGGACAGACATATCTTTATAGATCTGCCGACACTGCAGGTAGTCTTTAGTACTCTACTTTTATTTAAATATTTCTTTTTTAGGTTTTATGTAGATTTAGCGACTTCCTTCCTGGAAATCGGTATCCTTTTACGTTGTTTCATTGCATGTTGTCGAGCATAATACTGGGACTAAACCTGGGAACTGAACCTTCTTAACTGTGTAGGAAAATTAGACAGAGTTGGTCAGTAAAGTGTCTTGTGTTTCATTTTTGTTGTTGTCCGCCAGGAAAGGAAGGAAATCTTTGAGCAGCACCTGAAGTTCCTGAAGCTGACTCAACCACCCAATTTCTACTCCCTACGCCTGGCTGAGCTCACCCCAGGCTTCAGTGGTATGTTTATAGTTACTGTATTGTCCTCATATAAATCTGTGCACACTGGCCTCCATGAATACACATAAGCAGTTCTTCAACAGCAATGAAACATCTCAATACAACACCACTAATGTTTCCTGAAGTGTTTAATGCCTACGTGACAATCCTAAAATCTTTGTTCCCATCTCACTTTTTCTTTACAGGTGCAGACATTGCTAACATTTGTAACGAAGCTGCACTGCACGCTGCCAGAGAGGGCTACAAATCCATCGATACCTTTAACTTTGAATGTGCTGTTGAGAGAGTAATAGCAGGTAAAGTGATACAAACACATTTCGCATGTCTCAGTTGCCACTCTGGCAAAATCGGACATATCTGTGTATGTTTGTGTCCTCAGGGAGTGTAAAGAAGAGTAAGATCCTGTCTAAAGAGGAGCAGAGGGTGGTTGCCTTCCATGAGTCTGGACATGCCTTGGTGGGATGGCTCCTTGAGCACACAGAGGCAGTCATGAAGGTAGCCCTCTGTTCATCGAAGGTTTTGACTTAAAATGTTGATGCATGTCCTATGTACGAACATCCTTTAAGATGTAATTGTATGTCTGCCATATAAAGTCTTTGCACTTTCCAGAGTGTGACGTAATGGTGCTTTATAATTCACTGGAAAGATAAAGTGTGAATTCAAACAAATGCAGGAACTGTGCATTATCTGAAGGAGGCTAAATTACCCTGACTATGTGTCAAAGCCAGACTGACCAGGACATCGAACAAGGTTGACTATGGACTGTCACTGATTGCCACATGGGCCACAAACAAGCCCGGCCTCAGTATATTACTGAAAGAGTAGAAATGATAAATCTAGAAGTATGAATAAGGATAGTTGACCAAGGAAACATACAGCATGAAAGAAGGTGAAACCTAGCTTCATTTTGTCATGAAGCTAGGTTTCACCTTTTTTCACCTTCACCTGCTTCTGTTCTAACTTAAAAGAAACTGATAGATCCTGTGCCATGTTTTTCAGGTGTCCATTGCCCCACGGACTAATGCTGCCCTGGGATTTGCCCAGATTTTGCCCCGTGACCAGTACTTGTTCACCAGGGAGCAACTGTTTGAGCGGATGTGTATGGCTCTGGGAGGAAGAGCTGCTGAGGCGATCACCTTTAATAAAGTTACTACAGGTAACCTAAATCAAATATACTGTATATTTACTATAATCCAAGCGTAGTCACATTAATACCACTGAATGCTTCCTACTTGCGCTGCTGATTGCATTTTAATCATTGTCTCATACCAACCAGTCAAGTATCAGATATAAATATTATCCTATAATGTGGGTTAAACTGAGATGAGCAGCCTAACTTGAAAACACATGATAAAGCATCTTTTTTTGTTGTTGTTGTTTGTACCCTCAGGTGCTCAAGATGACTTGCGCAAGGTGACTCGTGTGGCCTACTCGATGGTGAAGCAGTATGGCATGTGCGACAGTGTTGGACAAGTGTCATTCCCAGACACAGAGGAGCAAGGTGCCGTTGGACGCCGTCCTTTCAGCCAGGGCCTGCAGCAGCAGATGGATCATGTAAAATTGGATTAGTTCTCTACTGTCAAACTAGCACACAGTGAATGTTGACATAATGGTTATCACCCTTAAGTATTGATTTTGAGTTCTTGATGCTGTTATAGTGTATATATATATATATATATATATGACTGCATTCTTGTGCTCTTTCAGGAAGCTAAGTTGTTGATCGCCCGTTCATACAGGCGCACAGAGAAGCTGCTATTGGACAACAGAGACAAGCTCATAATGGTTAGTTGTTTCTTTCTTTGACTTGAATATTTTTGCTTTTTGACTGTAGTTCTTTGTATATTCAGCACAATGCTTCTCTATTAGATTTCATAACTATTTAGGTCCTTCTTTCCAGTTGGCCAACGCGCTTTTAGAGCATGAGGTAGTGAATTACGAAGACATTGAAGCCTTGCTGGGTCCACCGCCACATGGGCCAAAGAAGATGATCTTCCCACAGAGCTGGGTGGAGGCTGAGAGGGACAAACAAGACTCAGGAGAAGACGAACCCCAACCACCTTCCCACAAACACGTAGAAGAGGACATGAATCCTCAGCTGGTCTGATCTTACAATGTATGTCTCAAAACTCTTTTCCACTTGCTCTGTCTTGTGGGATCATTAAGGGCTGGTCAATTTTCTGTAAAAAATGGTACGTGTTTTCCAGTCGGCTGAGCCATTCAGCTAATCTGAATGATAATCTGCAACTTAATGAATGATTATTTTGGAGGTATTCCACCATTTCTCTCAAGCACTTGCTGTCCAGCCACATTATTATGCCCTGGTAGCACAAAAAGCAAGTCTATTTGAACCGGATGTCTCCAACAAGCATTAAGTGCAGACAGTCTAGAAAAGCCCTCTTTTATTAGCATTTACTGTATCTTCATTCAACAATGAAATGCTATGTCTTGCAATTCCTCAACATTGTGTGCTAATGCCTGTAGTTGATGCTATCAGATTTATACAAATATACTGTAGCCTATACAGATTTTGATTCAAGTGTTTCTGTGAAAAACTTTCATTTCATGTGTGCAAATAACTGAGCAAAGGAACTGCGAGGCCATTTGTAACTCAAGTTATTATACACTGAAGAAAGTAGACTTCACAATAGCCGTGTCCCAATTCAGAGGCTGCATCCTTCGAAGGCTGCATTTGAAGGCCGAATGCGTCCACCGGCACGACAAAGGCTGCTCCATTTCATTAAGGCATGAAGACTCCTTCAAATGCAGCCAACGAATGCGTCCCTCTTTTCCACGGCTGCGAAGGATGCATCAGCTGGATCCTTTGCAGCCCCACATATCCCAAGATTCATTGCGCACCGGGGACAGATCAACAGCTGGAGTTTTAACTGCTCACAACTGATGGAAAAGATGCATTTATCAGCGGCTGAGGATTATACTTTTAATGTTACAGCTCACTTCAATAGCTAATGATACAAATGTTAAAAACCAACAGATTTTAAAAATGTCTTTAAAAAAAGATGACATTGGGTGCCGCAATAGCTCAAATGGTTGAGCTGGCGTCCCATGTTCAGGGGCTATAGTCCCCGACACAGAGGTCATGTGTTTGAGTCCCACTCATGGCCCTTTCCTGCAGGTCCTTCCCCTATTCTTCTCCCCCACTTTCCTGTCTCTCTCTTGTCTTTCCTATTGAATAAAGGTAAAAAGGCCAAAAAATAACTTGTAAAAAAAATGGATTAAGTTATGAGTTTACCTTATTGACGTGAACTGCTGCGATTTAAAATGTGGATTTTGCAGTTATACAGCTTCAGTGTTTGAATTATATTTTACTGAGACTGTGGTGATTTTCTAATATTTTTAGTCCATGTAAGTGTGAATGCTAACAAATTTAAGGTAGCTGTCAACACTTTGGACAGTTTTGTCCAGTACAACCGCACAGTGTAAGCATCTCAATTTCTTCAGGTATATTAAAAAAATAAAAAAATTAAACAAAAATCACAATTTTGGGATACATTCTTCAAAGGATGAAGAACCCATCCTTCAAAGGATGCAGACTCTGAATTGGGACACAGCCAATGTCTCTACACTGTCAGTTGACATATCTTATTTACATTACACAATAAGGTCTGCATTATTGTGCAGTGAACTGAAATTAAGAATTGTAACAGATTGTAGCAGATTGCTGTGAATTCTTTAACTTAGTGTGTACTTGAGAAAATTTGACAGGCTGTAGGGAACAAATGTACTGCTATTCCACATTTATGTTTATGTATTTATTTGGTCCTTTTCTCACCAGGAAACATGCTGGTTGAGTAAGTAGGTGGAATAGGTGGTGTTTTCTTTGGGGAAAAAAAAAGTCTTTGTGTAAGGGACTACGCAATGGCTTGTTTGCTGCAAGTGAATATGAAGTCCCAAAGAATGGTGTTGGCAAATGTTTAAATAAAGTTTCATTTAAATATTGTGTGTTGCTCTTTATGTAGTATTTAATTTTAGTGGGAATGAATATGCAGTATTTGCATATACTATATTTATTAGTAAATCAAGCGGTTCTTATTTTATATGAATGATAAACACACTATATAAAAGATTTCCATTTATTTTGTAGTCGCCAGTAAACTCTAAATTCAATGAACATATATATATGGAAAAGGGGGAAAAAATCCAATACAACTCCAGATACAGTGATTGTGGTACAGGATGATTTATGAAAAGATGACTTCCAAAAAGATTAACAGATGCTGGAATGGAGGATTTGTGATCAAAGAAAAGAAAAACAAACAATATCAAAGCAAATTCGTCTTATAAAATAATAATAATTCCTTATATAAAAAAGAAATACATTTAAAATATGTTTTCAGTATTTCAGGCTTGTTGTATGCGTCATTACTGCCTCCAAGTCTGAGGAGAAACGACAACAGCAGACATGGACACACTTTTCAACACACGTTCTGCCTTGCAGCGTGCACTCTTCTTTTCCTTGTGGCTGATCATAGGAACACACAGTTTTCTTGTCTCTTACTTTTCCTGAGCTAACCACAAAACTTTGCAGCGAGCCATTTTGTCAGATGTGTCCAAATGATCCTCAATAAAAAGCACATAAGATTTAAGGCCCATACTTTTGCATAGCATTTGTTTTTTCTTGGCACACTTCAAAATCTTGTCCTGGACTAAAATCTTTTCCAATGTGTCCATTAAAACACCAGAGGTATGATTGGTGTCCCTAACTACTGGCATATTGCACAGGTCTTCTTTCTGTGCGCTGCTGCCCACCTTAACGTGGGTCATACATGTTGGCTAGTTTCTGAAAGCGTGGTCCCCAGTCGTTGAGGTAGTCGTAGTCCTGATCTCCATCAGAGCTGCCTGAAGCGATCGAGCTGAGGCTTCCTGCCAGTGAGCCCTCTCCTTCATAGTCATAGATCAGTGCTGTGTCGTAAGGAGGCATGTTAGGATCGTTGTCTGCAGCCTCCAGGCCCTGAGAGAGGACAAATAGCAAAGTTTTTTTTTCAGTTGACAAAGGTAATGCTTGGTGGCTGCTGTTTTAATTCTAAATTGAGAGCGTTTATTCTTACACCAAAAAATTACTTCTACATTCAGTCTCTGAAATCTACACATGCAAATCCAGTGTAATGGGCTGTGATAATGTCCAGAACAAATGTAAATTAGTAGATACTTGCCATTAACATTGCTTGGCATTAGTGTTTTTTCCAATATATCGGTTTCGGTTCGATGAACAAATTTAGCTGATGTGAAAAACTGATGATACTTAAATGGTCCTGGACTTGAACATTAAATATGTTTAAAAATGTTACTTTTGTTACATAACAAAGAAGACTGTGTGGTCTAATTTGGTATGGGCTTCTTTTGAATAGGTTACACGTTGTCACAGTGCTTGCTTATACTAATTTTTTCGGTGTGAACAAAAATTTAATATCAACATCGGTAATATCGGTTATCGGCAAGATCAGAAATCTTAATGTCGGGTATTGGTATCTGCCATAAATTTTAATATCGTGCATCATCACATATTATGATGGCAGTTATTTCTAAAAAAATGCTGAAACTACATCACAGACATTACAGACATTACCTCATCCCAAATAAATGTCAGTGTATATTAAGAAAATAGTGATACAGTGGCCTGATAAAGTCACGATGGAATGTTGTTTTTTCACACTTCCAGCCAAAGTCCCCTTGCTTTTACTTTCATTAAAAAAAAAAAGAAGCCAAGGCTCCATCAGACACATAAAATAAAAGCTGCCTTTTTCTCCTAAACAGCCAACCTGCTTCCCAGTTTTGAATCATCCTTTCCTGTGTTGTGTTTCATACCAATGTCCTACATTAACAGCACAGATAATAAACCTAGAAATGTAGACACATCTACAGCCAAATTAGTTTTCTAGTAAGTGTGATCCATCATTGCACTCCTATAACACTATTAGGCACAGATGTCATGTTATTTTAGGCCTGCATTTTTTCTTTCTTTCTTTTTTTAAACTTAGCACAGACATTACCCGAAATCAACTCAACCAACCAAATTTTAGAGATTTGGGTATTGCGCTAATAGTGGCTAACGTTGCCTCGAACTGCAGGCCTTAAACACAGATGAGAAACTTGCTGCAAAGCTAGAAAGTGACATCACTTTAAACAGTATGTCACACATCATTATTCAACATTTTTTAGGTACAGTAGCACTCTCCAAGACCTGAAAGTAAATGCAGTTATGTGGTATATTTACACAACAATTTCTCTTATAGAAAAAAAACAATATGGGTTGTCTCTAAACTCCCCTCCACTGAAAATCTAAACATTCTTTAGAATTATAGATATGAACGAATATGCTTTAATAGCTTTAGAAAACTTGCAAAATCTAAATTTGACTGTATATTCAAACGCCTGTCAATAACCTTGCAAGTGAGAGTAAACTGCTGCATTTTATTTTAAAATTAGTTGTTACATATTCTTTTTTTTTATTTTTTTTTTATCTGACTTTAAGTTGTGGTTTATGCCTTTAAAATATATTTTTAGTTTTGATTTGAGAGGTAAAATGAAACTAAACCAAAATGACGGAGCCTCTCACGTCATTGATATAGTCTTCGATGTCAGTGGGATCTGCAGGAGGCCTCCGTGGGTAGGTGGGGGAGGGCAGGTTGTGCGGGGCATCCTTCCTGAGGGGCTGCTTGCCTCGGGGAAGACCAGACCCTGGGTAGAAGGACCCCGGGGTGGAAGGTGCATCATGAGGATTCCACAGCAGGTCAATGTTAAAGGCATTCTGCAAGGGGAGAGGAAAGAACTTCAGGTTGGTTCTGTATGCACTTTAATAATATAGAGATAATACACAAACTAGAAAGTCAAACAAAACCACAGTAACAATCAATGGTGCCAGACTCATAATTTCAATCAAATACCACTAATTTACATTTAAATATAACCACTAAGACTGTCCTCTTATGCATCTGCATTCTTCAACCTCCAACCCTTAATAATATTTCCACATTCACAGTTGCTGCATCCACACTGTACAAACAGCAATAACAAGACCACAGGATCATTCAGACCTGTACCACTGGCGTCCTTAAAAATAAAGACACACTTACTTTTCACCATAGCCTCAAAAACACATAAGCCTCACCTCGTCCTCCTCACCCCCTCCCTGCTCGTCGTAGTTAAAGACATTGTCACGTATGTCGTCTTCTGATTCTCCGACCAGCAGACCCGTTCCTTTCTTGATGTGGTGGCGTCTCCCACAGGACGTCAGCGCCACAGCCAGGAGGAGCAGCACTGCAAGGATGAATTCATTTCTGTTTATCTTATTATACGACTGCAACTGATTATTTCGTCATTGTTGTTTTTTCCATTATTTGATGATTAGTACATACAATGTTAGGAAAGAATATTGAATATTGACTGAAACAGCATATTTTTGGTACTTAGGTATGAAAAATTGGTCAAAATTGTTGCCAGGTATTTTTCTGTTATTCAATCACTGCAGCTCTGTCTTGTTTAGCATGCAAGGACCTAGTGATGCTTTCTGACTTTTTCAGTGATTTTTGTAATGTGTTAGGATCAAGGCCCACTAAATGTTTTGTATATATTGTACTCAGATTTCAGATTTTTCACTTTTGTATATTTTCACACATAAAAAAGAAATGCTGTCCCTTCTACAACCAAAACTGTGCAAAAAAGAAAAAAAAAAGGTCAAAGCTATATAATTTCAGTTAAAGCTACCAGCAGTGTCAATCAGGTGTGCCACAGTTAAGTGATTTTATTGTGAGTATGTAGATGCCTTCAGACCTGGACTCTTATCAGATGGTGCACAAACAAATCACTTTCTGTGTCCACTGTGTGTTGTTAGGAAACACCCACTAAATATACTTCTATAACTATACACCATGCTGTTGTTCATCATGTCTAAAACACATCATATGTATTTCATGTAAAACGGATGATATTCGCCACATAAGACATACTTTAGTTTCCAGCAGGTGGCTTTTACTTTATCTTGACCTATAGATGTGTTAAAGGAGAGACTCTCATCAAGAGAGACTTGGGAGAAATTGGACATTTGAGTTGCAAAAGTTCCTTTTTAATGGTGAAACACTGAAGTTTGCTTCCTTGCTGTGAAAACAGAGTTTCATGAAAAGTCACAGATTTGATAACTTTGCATCATGAAGGTGTTAAGATGACTGAATCTGAAGCCGCTTTTGTTAATCATGTCAGGAGAATTTGTTGAAGTACAATGGCTGTGAAGAGCAAATGCCACAGCAAATTCAAAATTGCTTCCTATGGGCTCAAGATTGTGGCTCCAAGAAGCTTTTCTGTAAGTCTGACACTACATATGGTACAATTAGGTGAAGCCTAATGTAGAAGCTACAACTTTGAAGTTTTGTGGTTGAGATATCAAATCATTTTACCACAGCCATGCTCCAAAACCATAAAATGTCATTTTTCACCACTTCTGACATGTGCATGAAGTTTCAACCCCCTTCAGTCCCTCAAAAATGCAATTAATTTACAACAACAACATAATAATAACAATTCCTCCAGATACAAGAGGGCCGCTCTGTGTGCCACTCTGTGCTTGTGTCTAAAACTAGGGTTATGTTTGCTTATATTTCTTGTAAAAATAAAATAACATTTTTTTTTAAAGGTGATACTTACACAGTAGGAGTGCAATACTAGCCATGATAATAATGAGAGCGAAGAAGCTGATTCCCACAGTGGAGCCTAAGAGAGTCCCCGCCATCGATTTACAGTCTCCGAAGGAGTCACAGGGACACACAGTGACGTTGACCTGAGCATAAGCACCCAAAGCTGGGTTGCCAGAGTCTGATACCAGCACTGTGACGGCATATTCTCCAGCCACCAGATCCACAACGTGCTGAAGCACCGCATGAGTATCTGAAGCAGGAAAAAACACAGAAAGAGACAAAATTAGACATCCTTTATGCAGATTTACTCCCTTCATCCTCTCCCTTGATGCTCTTTGCTTACTGTTAACTTGAATAACAGTCCAGTTGACTGACAGATCGTCAGGTATCTCAAAGAAAAAGGGTGCAGCATGCGGAGGGAGATCTTCATCCATAGCAGTCAGAACCAGACCAGAACTGCTGGCACCTTTGCATACGGAGCCACTCAGAGGGAAGAGCTGAGGAGGGAAGTCATTGGTCTCCTTCAGTGTGATGGCCACCGCTGCAGTGGCCGACACACCACCAACGTCTACACAAGTGAACATAAACACACAACAGAGTCACAAAAGCTTATTCAGTGGTAATGTCTAACAAAAACACACAATAACAATAATTTCTGTCTGACAATCTGTCTTGAAGTGCAAACCAAATTAATTACATTTTCTATTTAGGTCTTTTTGTCCCCTAAACAAAGTAAAAATCCAGCTCGGGCAAGATGGTTTCACATTTTTTTAAATATAAATTAGCTTGCAACAATGTTTTTGAATCAGATACGTGACTATTAAAGTACTATTAAAGAGTTTGAACAGAATAAGAAAAAGTGAATAAACTGACCTGTAACCTTGACAGCTGCTCTGTAGACATTGTTTTTAACATATGGAGATCTCATGTTAAAGGTTCTCCTCGCTGTAATGTCTCCTGTATCTCTGTCGATGTCCAGCCACCTCTCAGGATCTCTGCTGATCTCGTACCTGCGACACACAGAGCACGGGAAATCAGTTTACTTGCATTACTAGAAACAACAAAATATATATATTTTTGCTGCTACTGCTTCACACCTTAGCTCAGAATTATCAGGGTCAAAGGCAAAATTGCTCATCAGTAGTGTCCCAGGCAGCACAGACTCGGGGACCACGATCTGTATGGGCTCCTCTCTGAAGTGTGGAGCCTCGTTCTCGTTCACAACGGTGACCGCCACCTCGGCGGTGCTCAGTGGCAGGTTGGGAGCCTTATTACTCAGAGGATTAACATTTTCCACAGTCAAAGTCAAGACGTACTCACTCTGTGCTTCGTAATCGAGGGGCTGCAAGACACAACAGGGGAGACAGTTTATGGAAGGAAAACTTTGCACTGCATTGTTAAGCATAAACAAAAAATCTACAGTAGATTCATAACAAAGGCAACAAATTAATTCATGTATGTCCACTGCAAACCTAATTTACCATCTGACAAAATACAGGAAAACCCAAATAGGTGCTTTTATTGAGATAACTTGTAGTTTGAAGCTGAACCACTAGATGGTGCTGTTGGGTTGTGTAAGACAACCTTTCAGTGCTCAGTGCCACAATGCTTTTTTTAAAATGCCTTTTTCATATTTTGAGAATTCATGTTATTCCTGCATCCCAGTGGAGATCAGTCAGTGCTTACAATTTTTTTTGTTTGTCTTCACAATAATTAAACTCTATGAAACTTCCAGGAAAAACTAGACTTTACTTAGGATGTACACACGTGGACGAAATTGTTGGTACCTCTCGGTTAACGAAAGAAAAACACACAATGGTCACAGAAATAACTTGAATCTGACAAAAGTAATAATAAATACGAATTCTATGAAAATTAACAAATGCAAACCAGACATTGCTTTTGAACTGTGGTTTAACAGAATTATTTAAAAAAATAAACTCATGAAACAAGCCTCGACAAAAATGATGGTACCCTTAACTTAATATTTTGTTGCACAACCTTTCGAGGCAATCACTGTAATCAAACAATTTCTGTAACTGTCAATGAGACTTCTGCACCTCTCAGCAGGTATTTTGGCCCACTCCTCATGAGCAGACTGCTCCAGTTGTCTCAGGTTTGAAGGGTGCCTTCTTCAGATGGCATGTTTCAGCTCTTTCCACAGATGTTCAATAGGATTTAGATCAGGGCTCATTGAAGGCCACTTCAGAATAGTCCAATGTTTTCCTCTTAGCCATTCTTGGGGGTTTTGGGTCATTATCCTGTTGCAAGACCCATGACCTCTGACTGAGACCAAGCTTTCTGACACTGGGCGGCACATTTCACTCTACTGTAGAATACCTTTATAGTCTTGAGATTTCAGTGTACCCTGCATTCAAGACACTCTGTGCCAGATGCAGCAAAGCAGTCCCAGAACACAACAGAGTCTCTTCCATGTTTCACAGTAGGGACAGTGTTCTTTTCTTGATATGCTTCATTTTTGCGTCTGTGAACATGGAGCTGATGTGTCTTGCCATAAAGTTCCAGTTTTGTCTCGTCTGTCCATCGGACATTCTCCCAGAAGCTTTGTGGCTTGTCAACATGCAGTTTGGCAAATTCCAGTCTGGCTTTTTATGATTTGTTTTCAGCAATGGTGTCCTCCTTGGTCGTCTCCCATGAAGTCTACTTTGGCTCAAACAATGAGGGATGGCGTGATCTGACACTGATGTACCTTGACCTTAGAGTTCACCTTGAATGTCTTTAGAGGTTGTTCTGGGCTCTTTTGTTACCATTTGTATTATCCGTCTCTTCCATTTGTCATCAATTTTCCTCCTGCGGCCACGTCCAGGGAGGTTGGCTAGAGTCCCATGGATCTTAAATTTCTGAATAATATGTGCAACTGTTGTCACAGGAACATCAAGCTGCTTGGAGATGGTCTTATAGCCTTTACCTTTAACATGCTTGTCTATAATTTTCTTTCTAATCTCCTGAGACAACTCTCTCTTTTGCTTCCTCTGGTCCATGTTTAGTGTGGCACACACCATGTCACCAAGGAGCACAGTGACTACTTGTAACCCTATAAATAGGCCGACTGACTGATTACAAGTTTGTAGACACCTGTGATGCTAATTAGAGGACACACCTTGATTGAACATATCCCTGCAGTCACATTATTTTCAGTCTTTTCTTACCATCATTTTTGTCAGTTTTGTCCGTTCAAAAGCAATGTCTGATTTTCATTGGTTAATTGACATAGAATCTTAATTTATTGTTACTTTTGTCAGATTCACATTATTTCTGTGACCATTGTATATTTTTCTTTCATTAACCAAGGGGTACTAACAATTTTGTCCATGTGTGTAACTATGATGTAAAACAAAGGTGTGACATATTTCTAATGGATACTGAAAACCTTTAAATGATGACTGAACACTCCTGAAGCGCATACATTGAAAGGTCTGTAAAATTCCAAATCATTTTCTAATTTCAAATAAATTTCCTATTTTATAGTTACTAACAATGTTCCTGGTAAGAAACTATGTCATTTAGTTGACGAAACAGAAAACGTGTAGAGTTTGTCCATTTCCAATCAGTTACTTCTAATTAAAAGCTAACGTAGGTCAGCTGAACATATCAAAATATCAGATTTGTAAAGAAACAAAACTACAGTACATATATAGAGAATAATGGTTTGTCAAGGACAAAGTGGAAATTCCTCTCAAACCATCAACTACTAATACATTCAACAAATCTCTCCTCAAACTCTCAGGGTTAATACAAATTTCATACTTTTTTTTTTATTTTTTTTTTAAACCACTTCAAAATTAAAACCTTAATTTTATATCATGGGTGGAAAACATCCAAAAATGACAAAACAGATAAACATGAAGACAAAATAGGACACCAAAAAGCAATCATTTGTTTCATTTTCCGCTTAGATGTGACTTTGGATGATTTGGAAACATTTGCTCCCTCGCACTGCTCTGCCCAGCTGTACCTTCACTACTATCAGAATTCCCTGGTTGGTGGTTGGATCCGTATGGATGGAAAAGTGGCTGTTGGGGTCGTTGGAAATGGAGTATTTGGCCTCCCAGTTTCTTGTTCCTTCATCATCTCTGTCCGTCACATTCACTCGACCGACCTCATAGTTGTTCCTGTTCTCCACTGCTGTCATGCTGTACTGGATGCACCACACACATAAAAACACATCATAGGATTCAGGCCATTGTCATAAAGTCATCATAATATAGAATAAGTTGAATCAATGATAAATATCCTAATTATTACTGAGGACATCCCTACTGTATTGCTGTCTGAGACTCACCGATGCAGGGCTGAACCTCGGTGCATGGTTGTTGATGTCAGACACATGTATGATTGCCACACCTTCACTCATTAATCCCATGCCCCCCATATCTGCAACTTGTAGTTTTAATCTGAAACCTTTCACCACCTATGAAACAGCTCAGTTTTAGTGACATGAATCATTAAAAAGGTGATGATGATCTGCAACAAATCTGCATCTCGGTTACCTCCCGGTCCAGGCCGACGTCTCTTGTGTAGATGGTGCCAGTCTGGTTGTTGATGCCAAACATAGTCTTAGTAACAGTGTTGGCAGGGATGCTTTCCTGGCCAATGATGGAGTAGCTCAGAGCAGCATTCTCTGTCATCGGGTCATCTGCATCTGTGGCTGATACTGACATCACCGATGTGCCTGCCAGAAGTAATTGAAAGTTTGAGACAGCTGCAAAGACGAGGCAGTGAGAATCTATGTGGAGCTGCAGAATTTCACAGAGAGTTTTACGGAACACTGTGCTCCTGAAAAGAGAGAAATAATGTGCAACCACGTGAAAGAAGTTTGCTTTGTTCACGTGCACATCAGCTTTTTTTTAACAGTTCACTTGTTATTAGCTGTGATCTGCTGCTTTTAGTTTGGAAATGTCAGGACCAGCTTCTTTCTGTCTTGTGCAAGTGTTTCAACAACAATCCACACAAAATAATGAAGCTTTTGAACAATGACATCTTGGATTTGAACATTTTACTCAAACCTGCATCAAGATACTTTCACAAGATCAGCATTCCTTTGGAGTTGTGTTTCTGGGCACCTGACGAATTCACCACCAATGTTTACTCTCTTTTAGCTCTGGTTGAATCTGCATCAACTCCCAAAGGGGAATATCTGGTTTTGTTGCTGCTAAATGCTCCCCCATGTTCACCAGCCCATTGCAAACTTTGTCCATCTATCATTTGCTGTTGGTTTTGAGTAGTCTGCATACAATGGCTTTGCTACAAACATCTGTCTGCATCTGGAACAAGAAGACAATGAAAACCATAGCTGAACTACAAGATTCTGAGAGGAAATGCAGAATCAGCAGTCGCCCCTTTAAAATTGACATTTGATTCAACATTAATATAGAAATTTGAATTGTTGCAGATTTAAACTGCTAAACTGTATATAGGAGTATTAATGACTCACTGAAACAGAAAGTTTTATAGTTCAGTCAAAGCTATTCCATACAGGTTTAAAGCATCTTCAGGATGAAAATTTGAGTTGGCTTTAAGTTTGTAATGCAGTATATATTACATTTATGTACCTGGGATGGAGAACTCAGCGACAGTACCAACAAACTGGGTCTGAGTGAAGGCAGGTCTGTTGTCGTTCTGATCCAGCACCACTATCTCGATGGTGGTTGGATTCTCCAGTCTCTCTCCACTGGGAGACAGCGCAAAGGCTTTAAGCTACACACACAAACACACACAGGTACAAGAGAAAAATGTATTATAATAACATATCACTTTTCTGATTTTTGATGATCAATTACCACAAATCTCAAGCTTTCCAAGAGGAAACATCCAGCAGTCCACTCACGGTGACTTTAGGTATTTGTGGAATCTCTACACAACATATGCTGGCAGAAAGAAATATTGAAGATGTTTGGTTCAGCATTGCGGGTTACATCACGAGTCATCTGGTCTGAAACATGCTGAAGTGTCTCCCAAGATGCCCATAAAGGTTCTTGGAAACTGACCTCTGCCTGTTTGCACTAGTGTCCTAGATATACATGCTTTAAGAGAGAAACGTGAACCTATGCTTTGAAACACGTGCAGCCTCTTCCTGAGTGCATTGTGGCTTGTTGTAAACACTTCTGGTGGTTTGTTCTTTAAAACACATTTGAAGTGATTTGAAACATTAACGGTTGCTTACCGTGAAGCTGTTCTGCTTCTCTCGGTCCAGTGGTCTCTTGCTCCTGATTACTCCTGTTTTGTCGTCAATCTCAAACAGATTCTTTGGCTCCTGGTCCACCCCCGGTCCCTCTAACTTGTAAATCACCTCACCTGTAAAGATTTTGTCCGATTTGATCTGGACAGACAGAGGAGCTAAAGTTGATGATCATTAAAACCACATGGGATGGCTGGGGGGGGGGCTGGCTTGTAAAGCATATACACCAGATGTGAGTTTGTTGACAGCTAAGAACCTTGAGACCTGAGTGTTTATACTCAGAGAAGACTTTGACTAATGGCAGCAAATAAGATTCTGAACTAATAATATCAAGAGCTCAATATTTTATGCATTTTGCACTCACTTCTTTTGACATATTGCTTATATAGCATGTACATCATTTTGTAAAAGTAGGTTGGTATTTCGTCTTCACTTACCGATGCTCTGTAACAAGTTTAACATAACATTTATATTTCACGTCCTTCGAACAATGCTCTGCACTGTGGTTAGACATCTGTAAAGAAAATTATACTCAAAAGCGCATGACTTCATAGAAACATGTTACACTGGATTCAGTATGTAGCTTTTACACAATCCGAGACTAATTTATACATAGAGTTAGACATTAACCCCTTGAACCTCAAAACCTACCAGTGGGTTTGAAAGACATGTTATCTTTTTAAAAATGACCAAAATGACACCATTCATGAGAAGCTGTAAACATAGACAGAATTACCTGATTTTCACCTTTTGCTCATCTGTTATGTGTCCTTTTTCAGGAAACTTAAACGAATCGATGATGATTGCTCTTTCTCATCTCGTACCAAAAATGAAGCATTTGCATTAACCCAGTTCTGCACAAAACTAAAAATTTTGCACTCCAGTGTGTAGCCATGAAGCCATTAGTTACTCAGCTGCAACCAACACTTGTCTGACAAATATTTACATAATTTTGACTGAACTGCAGACTGTGCTTACACAAAGCAGATAGAAGACAAGAGTGGAAACAAAATAAATAATCACAAGGGTTTCAAGAGGTTCCTTGCACTGTTAGTGCTCGGACCCTAAAAATGAAGTAGTAAAACATCTATAATATGTAAAGTCACAATTTTTTTCTAGCTTTGGTGACATCTGTGGGCACTTGAAAAAAAGTTTTACACATGGTTTCCAGGCTTTTATTTATTTATTTTTTTTTTTGTAAACTAAACAATCAAAGAAACTCAACTTTTGTTTTATCATTTGTGTCAAACTACACAAAATACATTTTTTGATGTTACAGCTACAGCAGTTTTGCAGTGATGAAATTCTGCTGCGAAAGGCTGCAAGTTCACATTTTTTTACCTGGACAAGGTCTTCAGGAACCTGTTTGCTGTTCTCTGACACTCTGATTGGAGGGATGATCCAGTCTCTCTTCACTCTGACCACCCCTTTCCCTTGACTTCTCCATTGCTGAAGGGCCTGAGGAAGCAGATCACCCTTCCTCTGGTGAGGTTCTGCAGAGCTCCATACCTGAGGGAAAACACTTCAATGTGAAACTCACAGGAAATGTAGCCAGACATCAACACGCATATCACTTTCCACTGCTGAGACATAGGGGATATAATGTACAGCAGTGAGTGAGAATGAATTGCGTTTATAAACTCCAGTCACTTTCAAGCAAGACACGAATGATATCATTATATATATTTGCAGCTGTTAACAACCGTACCAAGAGCCTCCCTCAGTGCTACAACACACTCTGTGGCTTGCTGGAATGGTTGTATGCTAGCCAAAGTGCTGTGGCTGTTTGTAATATGGAGTCCACAGGATTATGTAGGGCAGAACGGATGCCGAGCAGCAGCTTCAGGTTTCACTCACTAATACAGGTCTTTTGCCACTTCCTTTGATCCGGGTGCAAATTCATCTCAGGATGAGGCAACACAAACACTCACAATCATTTTACAAGTTCTCCTTCATCGCGCTGCCGTCTTTGCCTGCGTTCACACAAATACACCCATGCACACATCACATGTGAGAAACACACGCAGCTGTCGACTATGGATTTAGATCCTGTGCTTTCCCACCCACATTCCCACTCACACTCACAAATTCCCCTTTATGCTCAGCTCTGCACCTGACTGGGAGTTTGGAGTCACCTTACGGATATGCTCTGCTGTAGGAAGTCCACAGACACGCTCATATATGTGCTTTCTCGCACACACACAGGCTGACACACATGCATGTGCATCAACAAAACACCCACCCACGCACAAGCTTATAGTCACATTTCCGTTGCAACTTGCTTCCTGCTTTTCTCTGGGATTTCACTGGATTCATATGGTAAACAGCTTAAAGTCACAATTCATAGAATCAGAAATAAATAGAAATTTATTAACTTTCTCATATATTTGCCCTTGTGTTTTCACTCAGATGTAACTGAATATTGGTGATTGTCCTGTTTCATTAGAGTTTCAGCAGAGGCTTAAATAAATGAGTTTAATAATAGATAAAGAACTTGTGATTTTTTGCGAATGGCCTGTGACCCCTGTCTTGTCTTGGGGGTGGCTGATCTGGTACACTGATCCTCTCGCAGGCCGCTAAACAGTGCAAGAAGGAATGGCAACCATGGCTGGCATGTGCAGGCCTAGTCAGAGGGCGGACTAATCTTAGATTGCTCCATATTCCTAACCCCTACCTATTTAACTTTTTGTAGCCATCATCTGCTACACACTCACCGAGATGTTTACACTCACATTCCAGCAGTGCAGGTCACCCGCACAGATTCATGCTGATAGTTATCTTCCTCCATACTTAACACTTCTGCCCATATGAGCTGTGTAACATCCACTGGCATAGCATGCATTCTGCATTGTTACCTAACCTCAAAATCAATAACAGCTGAATCACAGTTGCATTCCTAAAGATAGTGTTTTCTAAGTTGGCCTGATTTGTGCACATTCAGGATACCCTGAGCACTTTTGTTGAAGTTTGAGAATACCGACACAGCGAGTTGCAGACCAGAAAGCGTCTTTGCAAGTTCATTAAACCTAAAAACACGCCGCACAACTTTTCTCTGGTACGCCATGCTTCGCTCACCAAACAGACAACAGAACTTTTGTTGAGGCTAATCCTTCATGGGGCAAGTGACCATATTTGGCAACTTCCTTGGAAGTTCAATATGTCCACCCTGTGCCTCTCCTTGAGGTTGAAGAACCATGTGCACTTCAATTTAGCATTTATATTCATGTCATTATCACTACCTTATGAAAAATGTCACTAAACAAACGTTCCAGGCACTGTATAAACGCTTTGTTACTAGTTTGCATTGAACTTCACTTTGATTTATTTTTTTAAAGATTTGTACCAATACCACTACCCCAAGAAAAATGTTACTAAATGAACTTGCCAAGCACTTTATAGATACTTTGTTACTGGCTGTGTAAGTACCATTACCTCAAGCGAAAATGTTTCAAAATAAATTTTTTTTGCAGTTTGCTACTTTTTCATATATTTATTATAAAGTCCTCTTTTTTAACCATATAACTTATATATATAACCATTTATGGTAACTTTCTTAATCTTGATTTGCAACATATTTTTTTATTGTCACAAAAGTAAAAATATCTTGAAATATCCTTCAATGACACCCCATGGTTGTAATTTTTGTTTTCCAAGTATTTCAAGGAGTGCCCTATAATGGTTTAACCACAGATTTAAATAAATTAGTGTAATCTATCAATCTGATAAGTGTGTTTTTGAAGACATGAATTTTACAAAAGAAGGAAAGATTTCAGAATTTGCTCCATGCCACCACCTGTTAGGCCATTCCTAATGCTGACACATCTTAATTCTGTCTGTCTGTTAGCATGTTAGCATTTGCTAATTAGAACTAAATGTGGATTACAACTGAGAAAAATATGACCTGATGGTGTTGCTAGAAAGGTTAAGGGACCACCACAGTTAGAACAATCTGTCCTGAGGGAGCAATGAATGTGTAAACAATCTATTGTTTACTAAGTTATGGCATTTCACTCCAAATCCAAAAAATAAATAATAAAAAAAACAAACAAAAAAACCTCCAGAGATGTTAAGGTTGAAGTCAGAGGATGACTAAATAAATGACAGCACATCCTCTCGGGATCCTTACATTTGCACAGAACAAACACAAATGGAGATTCAACCATGTGGGTTCACACAGCGATAGGAAAATATGAAAGAGCGCATTTGCTAAACAATATTGAAAATGTTGGTTGCAAGCTGAATGTTTTTTATTTATTATATGCAGTAATCATATTTGAAATTGTTGATATTGCTCTTGTCGAAAAATAGTTTTAATAACTGCAAGTTTATTTTGTGTATATAGAATGAATAATGATTACACAATTGATCAATGGCCAATGTAGAGTATAAATAAAGTAGAAACAACCTCAGCCACGACCTCTAAAAATGTTTAGTGAATAAAACATTGTGCCCTGCTAAGGTCTGCTCCTGTCTTAAGTCTGATGCACTAAAGTAACTAAACTTTTGTACACAACATCGACAAAGTGTTCCAGCTTTTCCAGAATACACAACGCTAAAAGATATTCATTAAAACCTAACATCACCAGATTGTACAGTTTTTGTTACTTTGCACACTTCCTCTTCCAACACGCTACAACACTTGAGATGATGCTAGGTTTTGGGCAATGGCTCCACCAAGTATCTGCACTGTTATAATGTACTTAACAGGCCAAGATGCGGTAACAGCAAAGTGTCATGTTACCAATTAGACCAGCCAGTGGCTTTTCTGACAGACTGAGTGATGACATCACATACAGATTACCTGTTTTAGAGGCTTTTCCCAGATACATTTGCAACTTTGCCTTTCACCTCAGACCCTCGCAGAAGTATGGGCAGCTTGTTTGGTGATGATAGGGCCTAACAGCAACAACCGTTGCAAGCAATCTGTTGCTATAAGGAGTCTTTGCTAAGTTTTTAGAAAGTTGGATTAACCAGTGCTCACCTTGGAGAACAGAAGTGTAGTGTCACTTTGTAATCAGTGTTCTGGTTTATTTGAAATACCTGTGCTCACTACGTGATTAGCATAGTCAAAAAAAGCTCCATACCTGAAATGAAATCACAATACCAATATTATTGTGATATCTATTAAACATTTGAGAGAAACCGATAATGCTCCCAGTCAAACTCATGTTTAATTGTGTTTGGTTCTTTTTTGGGGCAAATGAAACACATGTAAAAAAAATACGAGTGTAGGGAGATGGAGAGGGATTCTGTATGCATAACTATACCATATTTCCTATGTTGGATTATTTAAACAGTATTTTTATTGAATTGTTTTCACATATGTATAAAATTGACAAAATAAAAGAGGAGAAGAAAAGACAAAACAAGGAAACAGACAAACAGATAAATAGAAATCATAAAAACAAACAAAACTGGGTGTGCAAAGGGCAGCAGTTTACATTGTTGCATCACTAATACATCACAATCCAACAAGCTTTCAGGGTTGAGGTGAGTGGCCCACTGTGGGCATGTTAGAGTGGTCACCTGGCTGGGCAAGACGATCTATGAATGGTTGCCATATGGTGTAAAATTTATTAAGGTTGTCCATCACGCTATATCGGATCTTCTCCATATGCAGTAAACTGCTTAGTTCCGTTAGCCACGCCTGAGGTGAACTGAGGCGCAGTGTCCGATTTCCGGAGTCTTAGAATCAGTCTCTTAGCGTTTACCATTTCCTACATGATAGCACTCTGCACTGAGAGGCTGTGTAGAGACATAGAATCACAGATATGTATCATAAAGGCTAGATGTCTTAAGGTGGCATTTCGAACGGGATCACCCTTCGGCCATCTTGATACAGGGAAGCTCTCTGGCGGAATCTCTTGTACGGGAAGGAAGGTAAGTGATCTGCACAGACTTAAATACTCTTATCTTGCTGAAATCTTGACGGATTTACAAGTGGTTTGCTTTCTTACAAACATTATAAACGTGGCTACAATTCAAATTACAAAAATACAAATAAAATACAAAATAATTAAAATATAAATTGTTGCTAGCTGTGGGAGTGTAACATAATTATTCATAGATGCAGTGTTATAACTACACCTCTGACGTTTATAACAAACCAAACCATTTGAAAATCGGTAGAAAATTGAGCAAGTTATGGTTATTTAAAAAGTACATGCGTCACTACAACACAATGTTATGGGTGAGCGAGTGCACTGTACCAAGATGGCCACCAGTGTGGCAGTGCGATTCCATTGGCCGGCAGCGCGGACGAGACATCTAGCCTTTATTATACATATGTATGCATAGAATAGCCATACAACGCTATCTCTAGGTCAGGGCTAAACACACAATCATACATTTCAGAAAACATTTGAATATTTTACACCAAAAGTTGTGCAATTTTGGGCAGGTCCAGAAAAGGTGGGCAAGAGAGCCCTCAGCAGATCCGCACCGGTCACACAAGGGGGAGATTGTAGGATAAATTCTATTTAATTTAACTTTTGAGTAATGTAGCCTGT